ACTGAACTGTGAAATATAATTTATTTACCCGTCCGAGGCTGTCAGCTAGTCTCAATTGGCTTCAAATATCGTCTTTGCTGATATTTCTCTAGGTTTATTGTCTTTAGCGAACAAGGATAACTTGTACAAACTGCACATCTTTGAAAAAAATAGTCGACGTCCAAAAATTATGTCAAAAATCCAAAACTACGACTGCAAAAACAACAAAATATTTTTTGCAAAAATCAGGGGGAGTGAAAATTGTAGCGGGCTCAAAATTGAGCCTTGTTCAGTGGTAATTGTATGAGCAAAAGGAACCAGATGGCGTCATTCTGGCGTCAGCAAAGGCCGAAATCCGCCATTGTTTTGGCGACACTTTTTGATGCCGAGCACGTCCTCCAGTTATAGTATAGCTCAGTGGTTTAACTGCATGTACACCTCCGAATATAAGCCCACCCGAATATAACCCCCCCCCCGGAATATAGGCCCCTCCGTGTACAAACCCATGGGATTACTATTGGACAGATATATCATTAACGCAGCCACGGGGATTCCAACAGCTCGTACGAGTGACAATAGTTACATTACATGCATGCAATATTATAGTATCTTACCAGCATGTTTTATGTATAGATTATATACTGTATGTTTATATTTATTTCTGTTCACAGTATCGTTTACAAATGCGATCAATATTATTAGGAACATCAAATGTCGTTCCTATATAAGCCCCCGCCCCCCCCCCCCTCCTGTATATAAGCCCTCCCATGTATAAGCACATCAAAAAATGCTTACAAACGAATATGACCCACGGCTTGTATTCGGAGGTTTTCGGGTTAAAGAATAAGTTTCGGAAAGGAATCAAAAGGATCATAAACACTCATCACTTCTGTAAGCTATATAGCCAATCGCAAAACATCATTTTATGTCGGTATTACACAATATTTTAATGAGTGTTTGAAAAAGAGAGACAAATGAAATAACATTGACTGAAGCCTGACTCTGAAACAATATAAACACTAACCGTCACTTAACTTTACTCTTGTTGAAAGACATCAGTAACGGTTACAGTTTAGAGTCGTTTCAGGGTCACGCTTTAGTCAATGATATCTAGTTTCTGACGTTTGTATATTTACAGTATGATACAATGCAGCAACACCACACAACCTATATGTAAATATAGAGGCCATAAAACGCTACAATGTTGATATTAAGTTCTTTGTATGTTTGCATGGTGATAAAACATAATTAATGTTGATATTGTCTAAAACAATCGTACGGAATTAGGAGATATTCTACCATACAATCAATTGCATGCACTGAATTGTTTGGAAACGTATCAATCTATTTATCTATCAATGAATCCACCATTCAAATTTCTGTCCGCCTCTCTATAATTTTTCCGCCCGCATACGCACCTGCTGGTTGCCGCGATCTACTTTGTTTAGCGGTGAAGCTTGGTATCAATATAACTACAAGATGGCTTATTTCATATTAGCAGTGAAAAAAATCCATTAAAGTATAACTGAGCCGTTCTTCAAATATCCACTTGCAACCTCTTAACGCGAAACATACGTTTCCTCACAAAAGAGCACCGCCCTGGCGCTCTTGAATACGTTCAGCTCTATTCACAGTTCGAGAAGAACTAAAGTAAATTTCAATCCTTGATAAACTTCAGAAATTTTTCTAACTCCAGCATTACAGCGTTTTAAAGTTAATATTCAGTATTTTTCAATGCTCTCTCGTTCAATTCTAAATCTTTAATTTAATTCTTTTTTTCAAAACTTAGAAAATGCGCGGCTGACGCATGCAAACTAAATTTCAGATGTATCCATCTGTTGGACAGTTGGACAGATCTGAATGATAAAAGGCCAGAGAAGAGGGAAGTATAGAGATTCTTGTTTGTTAATTCAATATGATTTTGAAATAATTTGTTCATTTTGAAATAATAAAAGCTTTAAGATTTCGCACAGAAGTTTCCTAGAAAAGGCCAAGTGAACAATTTTGTGATCAGAACTAAAATATTGTTTAAGTCCAAAGATCAAAGGTAAGCTTTTAGTCAGATCTAATTATGAATTCAGTTCCTCTTCACTGCTTTAATAATATGCATATGTACGAGATGTGTGCTTATAAAATACTGTGTCTAAAGCCGTTGCATGGATTATAATACAGGCCGACCTCTCGTGGACTGAGTATCAAACTCTCTAATTATCAAGAAGTCGATCTTCACTGGCGGAAAATTAATTGCTACATTTCAACAAATTATAATAAAGAAAGGAATTATTATTGGACATTTTTCAAGTAAGTCAATTTTAATCTTTAGTGTTCTTGGCGAATTTAGAATTTTACTGGAACCTGTTCGGACGCGTTGCGGGGTAGCGCGCAACGAAATACAATGTCATATGTTTAAATGTTAGAAATTTACTGATTAAGTAAGATAACATTTTACACAATGAATCTTACATAAGCGCAAAATACTAGTGTCCAGTTAACAAATAGAAAATATTACGTATATGTGTATACTGTTGTGAATGTAAATTAGGATTGTCAGAGCAAGCACCTTTCACCTCTGAGATCATGCGTTTGATTTGTACTTATTCTGAAAATTCAGCCGCTTTATGCATAGGGAGAAAGTCGTTGGTTTTCTCCGGGTATTCCGGTTTCTATTATTCTATTATTGATTGATTGATTGATTTTAATAATTACCACATTGTAAATTAATAGAAATTTAAAAAACGTGATATTACATCGATAGTATTAAAATTTTTAAATTTGCAAAAAGTTCAATTTAAAACTACTATAATATAAACTAAAATATTTTGTTATGTCTATGGTCGGTCCCAGTTTTTAACACACTTTGGGATAAAACTGTTCTTATATCGTTCAGTTTTGCACTTATACATAGGATAAGTGCGTTTATTTCTTAGACTGAATTTGTGAGATATAGCACTGGGAAGTAGCGTTCTCAACTTATCGTCTGAGTGTTGATTGATATTCTTATAGAATGACAAGCACTGATTCTCTCTTCGCTGGTAAAGTGTAAGAAGGCCAGTGTTTCTTAGTGAGGTAGTATAGGAGGACTGGGGGAAAGCGATTTTCAATGCACGTTTTTGTATACTCTCGATTTGATCAGCAAGGAATTGAGGGAAAGAAAAATGCCATACAGGTGAGGCGTATTCCAAAACTGGACGAATAAATGCACAAAAGACCGTTATTAAATCATTGGCTGGGGCACCAGAGCGTTTGAGGATCCTTAGAGCATAAAGACGTTTACTTGCTTTGGTGCAGATGTAATGAATGTGCGCATTCCAGGTAAGATCCGAAGTAGTATAGGGAAGGGGGGTTCGACGACGGGCGGTGCGGGCGGTGCACTTAGCACCGCCCATGACGTCATTAATTCTTAAATATTTTAATTTATTCATGTCATTTGAATTTATTTGAGCTTACTTGATATTTTTGAACTGCTGTCGTTTGTTTATCTACATTCTACAGTTTATATTTCTGGCTACTTCGCTACCGTTTGTTTATCTGCAGTTTTTATTTCTGGCCACTACGATGTCGTTTCCCTGACTTATAGGAGTTTGCAAAGATTCTGGGGGAAATTCTGCGGAGAATATCGCAGTTTATCCAAAATTCTCCAAAATCATAAACGGCAGTAGAAGTAGAGCATAAAAGTTGTATTTGAATTTATCGTATTACAAGATTTTATTAGATTATCTTAGAGTGTCCACTACCTTAGCACCATCCTTGGTTTTCCCTTGGGATGTATTTACCATGTTTAGGACTATTAGACAAGGAATAATAACAATCCAGAGATACAAATGAAAATTTTTAAACAGAACTAAGCAGTTGCTAAGCCCAAGTTAAAATCGCTGTCAATGCCGTTGCTATGGTCGATATTTGCATATTACAGAGTCATTAAAAAGTGATTAACCGGTCCACCTCGTGTGGATATATACAATGTTTTTATTTCACCCAGCGGAGCTTGAGACAGGAAAAAATACTAACAAACAGAGAGTTATTACAGATTATATGCAAGATGTATCGAAATTTTGTCGATTGTGGTTTTCTAAAACGCATACGGCCAAAGTCATTGACAGTCATTAAAGGATTATAAGCAAAATTTTAATAGACAGGGATTATTTATTACCTTAAAATCGGGCGCGTGGCTTTGCAGGCAAAAGTTCGCACAATATTCCACTTTTAAAGTAAATATATATTACTTCAAAATGTTCTACAAAGTTATGCTTTTAATATACATCGTCACTTGTTTGAGACGTTTCACTATCTGATTCGTCATCGCGGCTGCTTTCATCATTGTGGCTGCTTTCATCTCCCGAGATGTTGGCCAACTCTCTCGGAGCCGATTGGCTCAGAGCCGTGCACCAATAGGCTCGGAGCCGAGATAGAATGGCTCGGGGCCGAGCTCCATGGCCTCGGAACCATGCTCCTTAGGCTCCGAGCCGAGCTGGATAGGCTCCGAGCCGAGCTCCATACGTTCCGAGCCGAGCTTCCTAGTCTCGGAGCCGAGCTCCCCAGACTCGGAGCCCAGCTCCTCAGACTATAAATCACCTCCATAGGCTTAGAGCGAAGCTCTCTAGGCTCGGAGCCAGTTCCTTAGGCTCTGAGCCAGCTTCTTAGGCTTGGAGCCGAGCTCCCTAGGCTCGGAGCCAGCTCCATAGGCTTCGAGCCGAGCTCTAAAGGCTCCAAGCGGAGCTTCCTAGGCTCCGCGCCAGCTCCTTAGCTCGAATGGCTCGGAGCCAAGCTCGATAAGCTCGGAGGGCTACCAAGCTCCATAACCTCTGGGATTCAATGATTCAATTTATGATTCAATGATCCAATCTTATGATTCAATGCTTCAATTTATGATTCAATGATTCAATGATTCAATCTTTAACAATTCAATGATTCACTCTTAGGATTCAATGATTCAATCTTATCATTCAATAATTCACTCTTATCATTCAATGATTCAATGATTCAATCTTCAACAGAAGCTTCACAGAAGCTTCACAGAAGCTTTACAGAAGTTTTACAGAAGCTTGACCGAAGCTTAACAGAAGCTTTACAGAAGCTTGACAGAAGCTTGACAGAAGCTTGACAGAAGCTTCTGTGAAGCTTCTGTGAAGCTTCTGTAAAGCTTCTGTCAAGCTTCTGTAAAGCTTCTGTAAAGCTTCTGTGAAGCTTCTGTGAAGCTTCTGTTGAAGATTGAATCATTGAATGATAAGAGTGATTCATTGGATCCTAAGATTGAATCATTGAATGATAAGAGTGAATCATTGAATGATAAGATTGACAATCTTAGGATCCAATGAATCACTCTTATGATTCAATGATTCAATCTTCAACAGAAGCTTCACAGAAGCTTCACGGAGCCTATCCAGCTCGGCTCGGAGCCTAAGGAGCATGGTTCCGAGGCCATGGAGCTCGGTCCCGAGCCATTCTATCTCGGCTCCGAGCCTATTGGTGCACGGCTCTGAGCCAATCGGCTCCGAGAGAGTTGGCCAACATCTCGGGAGATGAAAGAAGCCACAATAATGAAAGCAGCCGCGATGACAAGTCAGATAGTGAAACGTCTCAAACAAGTGACGATATATATTAAAAGCATAACGTTGTAAAACATTTTGAAGTAATATATATTTACTTTGAAAGTGAAATATTGTGCGAACTTTTGCCTGCAAAGCCACGCGCCCGATTTTAAGGTAATAAATAATCCCTGTCTATCCATAATAAGCACTTAAGAGATTAAAATTTTGCTTATAATCATTTAATGACTGTCAATAACTTTGGCGGTATGCGTTTTAGAGAACCTCAATCGACAAAATTTCGATACATCTTGCATATAATCTGTAATAACTCTCTGTTTGTTAGTATTTTTTCCTGTCTCAAGCTCCGCTGGGTGAAATAAAAACATTGTATATATCCACACGAGGTGGACCGGTTAATCACTTTTTAATGACTCTGTAATATGCAAATATCGACCATAGCAACGGCGTTGACAGCGATTTTAACTTGGGCTTAGCAACTGCTTAGTTCTGTTTAAAAATTTTCATTTGTATGTCTGGATTGTTATTATCCCTTGTCTAATAGTCCTAAACATGGTGAATACATCCCCAGGGAAAACCAAGGATGGTGCTAAGGTAGTGGACACTCTAAGATAATCCAATAAAATCTTGTAATACGATGAATTCAAATACACCTTTTATGCTCTACTTCTACTGTCGTTTATGATTTTGGAGAATTTTGGATAAACTGCGATATTCTCCGCAGAATTTCCCCCAGAATCTTTGCAAACTCCTATAAGTCAGGGAAACGACATCGTAGTGGCCAGAAATAAAAACTGCAGATAAACAAACGGTAGCGAAGTAGCCAGAAATATAAACTGTAGAATGTAGATAAACAAACGACAGCAGTTCAAAAATATCAAGTAAGCTCAAATAAATTCAAATGACATGAATAAATTAAAATATTTAAGAATTAATGACGTCATGGGCGGTGCTAAGTGCACCGCCCGCACCGCCCGTTGTAGAACCCCCCTTCCCTATACTACTATCCGATGATATTATCACTCCCAGAAGTTTGAAGGTCTGGACGATTTCTATGTTTAAACCAGATGACGAGAGGGCATCGAATACCATAGGGACTCTAAGAAAGGATATACGCAGTTCTTTGGTTTAAGATACATTAAGCCGCATGTTGTTGTGATTGGTCCAGTCATTTATAGTGTTTATATTAGCTTGAAGCAATGAAGTAGGGGACGATCTTGAAACAATTTCGTATTTGGAACAGTCATCGACATATTTGTACATTGGAGTGTTGGTTTGCAAGTCATTTATCATCACAAGGAAGAAGAGGGGTCCAAGTTTTGTACCTTGTGGAACCCCTGCATTTATTTGTCGCCATGTTGATTTATTCTGGCCAAGCTTGACACGTAAATATCGCGGTCATGCAGGAACTCAGCGCACCAATTCAACAAGATAAGAGGGATGTTGAGTTGTTGTAATTTATGAAGTAAAATATTGTGATCGATGCGATCAAAGGCTTTCGAAAAGTCAATCATACAACATCTGATAGTTAAACCAGGGTTTTCTAATTCGGCTAGCCAGTTATGGATCATGTGGATAAGAGCGTGTGTGTGTGGTGGAGCAATTTTTCATATTTCCAAACTGGAGCGGGTCGATTGATGGTTTAATATAACCAAAAAGCCACCGAAAAACAAAGCTTTCCAATAATTTACTCAGCACCGGTGTGAGAGAAATAGGTCTTAGGTCGCTATCAACTGATTTGGGATTAGATATTTTTGGCGCTGGGATAATGTCTGCTGATTTCCAGAGTGTCGGGATCACGGGATGCAACCTTGTGCAATGCTGGCATTGAAGATGGAACATATTGGACCAGCGAGCAACGGTGCAGCTGATTTCAGTACCCAGTTGGGAATATCGTCGGGGCCAATTTTTTTCTGAAGACTGAACTTTTCCAATTCGATTTCAACTTGTTGGGTTGATATTATGTACTCATCAGGAACAGATGTAATGTGAAGCTTATTGAAGCAGAGTGTGGCCAATTCGTTTGAAACAGCACAGAAAGATTCGGCAATTAGTTCAGCAAGCTCAGGACCTC